TATTTTAGAATGATGAACTGCCCGATCAGGTGCACACTTATCATGCAACACTGCTTTGACTTTGTACTCATTTAGTTGAAATAGTGTGCTTGACCCAGTGTGTGCACAGATAATGTAAAAACTTCCCTGACATGGGTGGTCAGGAATATTGTTGAGATTGCTTCATTGAGTCCATTTGCAATTTTGAAGTGTAGTTCACATTCACTTTGCATGCCTGGAAAAAAGTTACTCCGTGCCTAAGCAAAAAGTAGCTTACTTACCAAAATATGGTAAGCTATATTCATAACTTTAGATTGGTTTCCATGCCATACAGCTTGACAGATTGAGTGAGCTTTGTGTAGCTAGGAGTAACACACACGTCTGTAGCAAGCAGCTGTGACCAGTAGCCACTGGCTCAGGGCTGAGTTTTGTCAGAATTTGTCCTGATTTCGGGACTTTTCAAATAATTGGGAGCATCTCATGTTTACCATTTTCATTTGCCTCCAATCTTACCTCTGCTGGCTTCCGTACGCACCAGTGATATTCTTAGTCATAGCCATAACTTTTGGACATGGCTTTATTCTCCCCTCAGTGGATCAATCAATGGTAATTAGCCAGAGGTCTACACTAGCTGCTTTTATGACTTGTGCCAACATTCAGGATTCTATAAAGTGTGCAGATTTTAACCACTTACAAGCACCGTGGCTTCATGAGGAAAAAAGCTGATCTAATCCTGATATTCTCTTCAGCAAGGAATTACAACTCGGCCATCATGCACAATTTCCTGACATTTTCTTGACTTGTCTTTTCTTCAATCAGATGCAGAAAGTTCTGTCCTCTGCATCCTTTGACAACCAAACAGTCTTGAAGACGATGCAACGATGCTGGTCTGACCATCACTACCTCATCTGTCCTCACACAGCGGTGGCAGTCAGCTACTACTTCAGCAAGCTGGACCGGTCGGTACCTCAGTCAACTTAAAACCAGTTTATCCTTACGGTGGAAATGAACACAATCCTCAAAAGAATTAAATCAAGAAACACTCTTCTTTCTTCTGCACTGATGAGAATGCTAAACCTGCCCAAAGCTATCAATTATCTAACAGTGTGCAGTTGAGAAGAAAACAATTTTGTAAGATGGAAGTTTTCTGTTGGGTAGATGTTACTCTGTCACATATGGTATTTTCCCTTCTCCGATGTTTATTTGTAAACACTGTGGGGTGAGACCGCACTGAGTAAGGTTTGTGCTTTGAATCTTTTCATGGTGAGGGCAGCAAGTAAGTTATAGAGGTTTGTGATCGCACCGTGCATGGATATCTCTTTTGGAGTATGTGTGGTTCTAAAACGAACCAGAAGATACTCAGCATTTTGGACATTATGCTCTGTTTGTCATAAGGGTACTGGTGATGACAGAGCATATTGTCAGTAGTGCTCGGCAAAGGATATCCTTGCATGGTGCTACCACAAACCTTTATTATTGAGTAAGGTTGTCAAAATTGTCACAGGCCTTCAGACACAACATTAAGTATACTGTTACAACGGTTATTAAATAAATTTCACTTAAGAGTGGAACACCCTTTAGAAAAAAACAGCAGAAAAATTCATTCTTTTACTTTCTTTTGCTCTGAAATTTAGATCCTTCCTCCATGGCTCATTCTTACTTTTTCAGGGTTCTTTTAATTAATGTAACCAAATGAAAAGGCCATCAATTTTAGTTGAAAGTATTACATAAGTATTACTTTACAAAACAAGATTGACAATATATTCAATGCTATTCAGATGTCCTGACAATATACTGAATGCTATTTAGATGTCATGTCTACTATTGATGTGCTTTCATCTGTTGATTTAATAGCATATGATGTATTCTTGCTTTGGTTGACTAACAGTATGGAGGCCAATCAGACTCTGCACCAGCCCACTCTTTGTTTCGCCTCTGCTCATCCAGCCAAGTTTCCTGAGGCTCTAGTAGCGGCTGGTTTGGAGCCTAAGCCCACACCTTACATCACAAATCTGCAGGTCATGCCGAAGCGATGTCTGGAGATGAAAAGAGGACAGAATTGGGAGAAAATACTGAGGGAAAAGATCAAGGAGATAAGTAAACGAGCTGGCGTGGATCAGTAACTTGATTACACATGTGAAACTTCATGTCAGTTTGGAAAAAAAGCTCCCCATTTTAACAATACAGTGCCCGTAATGATTTAAATTAGAACATTACAAGATGTTAAAATATACTCAGAGCATCAGGCTAGCAGCATTATGTCCTGCCCAAAAGCTAGTAGCACGGGCTGACATATGGAATAGCCTTTGGTTCTAGCCTTAAAGAGTCTGCCTGCATACGATAAGTCTGGCTTACAGTTTTTTTTAATATAGCCATCTGGGAATTTGCTGATTACTTCGCTATGTGATAATAGTTTTCTAGCCAGTCTTGAGAGGAGACTTGTATTCAAGCCTGGTGGTAGTTTCCTTTTATGAAATTTCCGACTTTTAATCTGTTTGAAAAAAAAATTCACAGAGCCATGAATTACGAAAGAAGAAGAAATTTTGTACATCTTAAGCTAAAATTTTTTTAAAAATTTGCATTAGAGATGGTAAGGTGGATCAAAAAGCACATATGCTCCAATATTTGCTCCAATATTAAAATTTGGTCTCCGAAAGTTTTTTGAAGTGATTATCAATGATATTACCATTTCCTTTGATAATGATTTTGTAATATCATGGTTGAAGGATTGTCAGTAGTTCATAATTTCATTAGTGCAGAGTTTTGCGTATTCTGGAAAAAGTTCAGTTTCCGTAGTTGTGATCATGTACTTGATGTCATTAGACTGGTGATTGAGTGTATTAAGCAGTGTGGTTAAACTCCCTCGCAGGGCACCAGACACAAAGAATTGAACGAAGTAAAAAACATATTGTCAAATAGTTATTGGTTGTGACAATTACTCCTATTCCACTGTCCTAAATCATTTTCAGTCGCTGTCTTAAGAGCAATGCCACAGCGAGTTATTGTTGGATTATCTTTTAATAATTTTTTTTGCTCACTCTTGCTTTTTCAGGGTTCTTTTAATTAATGTAACCCAATGAAAAGGCCATCAATTTTAGTTGAAAGTATTACACAAGTATTACTTTACAAAACAAGATTGACAATATATTCAATGCTATTCAGATGTCCTGACAATAAACTGAATGCTATTTAGATGTCATGTCTAATATTGATGTGCTTTCATCTGTTGATTTAATAGCATATGATGTATTCTTGCTTTGGTTGACTAACAGTATGGAGGCCAATGGTGCTTGAGTATCTTAAGCAGTGTAGTTAAACTCCCTCGCAGGGCACCAGACACAAAGAATTGAACGAATTAAAAACCATGTTGTTGTCATATTCAGTTGCTGTCTTAAAAGCAATGCCACGGCAAGTTATTGTTGGATTATCTTTTTATAATTTTTTTGCTCACTCTTGCTTTGTCAGGGTTCTTTTAATTAATGTAACCAAATGAAAAGGCCATCAATTTTAGTTGAAAATATTACATAAGTATTACATTACAGAACAAGATTGACAATGTATTCAATGCTATTCAATTAAGTTACTGGTGGTTTTAGTTGTCTCAACCTTTTTCTTTAATTGTCTTTAAATACATTGTCATCTAGTCACCTTAAATGTTCGAATTTCTGTATTTAAGCTTCTTGCTATGAAATATAGCATATATATCATATATCTGATAACAGATGTGGACATTTCACTTGTCAGTTTTAAAGTGTCATAAAGACTATCTCTGTACAAAACTTCTAAACAGAAACAACTAAATTAGAATAATTGTTTTGCCTTAAAACCTTGTCTACAATCACCATCTTGTATCAAGTATGGTGATCACGTTTAATTGGAGAGTAAATAACATAAAGGCATTTTAATGTAGTAAATCAACGAATCAATGTATTCATTTTATTGAATTTTAATGAATTAAACTCTATAAGGTATTGAGCTAAATTACAGGTATTCAGAAACTGTTTTTCTTATATTCTGTCTAAAATTAACAGTTCCCGTTTATTCCAGATGCAGGATTTACTTAATTCTTAAAAAGTCGGCTTGGGGATCGTCGCCCACAACCTGCGTCCGGAACTGTAGGACACAACCCTGTGTACTAGAACCCACGAGTTTTGTTAAAATCCCCCCGGACTTATGTTCTGCCCTTACAAACCCATAGCTCTCCGGCGACAAAAAGGCCCTAAATGTTTCGCGTGCAATTGCCCCGCTCAAAAATTCCCAAATTAAAAGTTCCAAATCAATCTTCAAAACCCACTCACTCTCGGGGAAACATCGAGTTTGTGCTTACTGCACCAACATGATCTACTGTATATAAATCATGCGAAAGTGAACACTGTATCCGGGGTTCTGGACCTCTTTTCGCGCAGAGTGCATTATATAGTAACTGGCATAAGCGAATGTTATACAATACAACACAATGGGCCTGCATAAATCCTCATCATCTGATTAGTGGATCATTGATCACAAGTCACTGAATTAGTTTACTTGATTGGTTACGCCCCTACATGTTTCATTCCCAGTTACAGCCATGCACAGCCAAAAGAATAATACCCGTACCAAAGAACATCATGTATGACAAAGTATGGAGGACGAAAAGTGGCCATCTGCTTTTCTGCAATTAGAATTGTAGGAAAACAGTTTTTAGTTTTGTAACATACAATTTTCGACTTTTCAACTTTTCTGTTACCTCAAAAGCAGAATAATTTAATAATTTAATTGTAATGCATTTTCCAATTTTCCGCTACTACAAAAGCTGAGTTACTTTTCCTCTTTTTGCTGGTGGCCGAAAAGTGGCCGTCCGCTTTTTTTACCTGTCCAAAATTAACAATGCTTTCCGAGGACCAATCTCATACAGCAGTATCAGTGTCCCTGTAAGGCTGAGAAAACAGCATCTCAAAGGAAATAAAGCCCGAAAGTAAAAGGTAACGGAACCCTATGCTCGCGCCATCTGCATATGTGGATTTTACATTGGGCCGCCCTATGACGTTCGATAATTTTGGGAGAATAATTCCTAACTAAAACCGCCCCATGAAGCACCCGTGTTAGAATTTTACCTTTGTTTTCCTCATGTAACATTTAGGGAGAGTCATCTGGACATGGGTTAAAAAAAAAGAATTTTATGAACGGCCTTTCACGTCCCGCGATATCGTACCTACAATCCAGGACAAAATAGTTGGAACACCTTGTAGGAAGCGCGTTGCAAAGATCCCCCTCTCCCCCATTCAACGTTGCGTTCATTTATTGGACCAAGATTTGGCCCAACTCACCCAACGAGAAGCAACACTGACAGGTGGCGAGGGGGAGGCTTGTTCCAACGAGATTTGTCCAGTATTGTCTCTAAAAAGTCAGCCTTATCCTAATCCGGTTCCTAAGTGTGACGTCACTTGAG